CTGTATGGACTGCTCACTGAATGCCTACAAAACTACAGTGTATGTCTCCCTCAGTTAGAATGTTTTCTGGGACATGGTATTGGTCAAATCCAATGATCGCGGTGTTCTCTTGATCTTACATTGCCCCGCTGATGGTCATAAATTTGGTAGATAATTGGAAAAAGTCAAGTGAATGAAACTGATGAATACTCCTGTACTCCTAACATAAATTACACAATGATTATTGGTGAATTTTCTATCCAACACAAATTTAAAAAAGAAAAAGAAGCAAATATGACTCAAATTGAAAAAAAAAAAAACTACTGCAAAATCAGTCATTCTGGGGTGAAATACAAAAAAGAGAAAAAAAAAATCCTGGTATGAAAAGATTGAAGGTCACACACCTGTCTCACCTTAGCATCCTTGTAGTGCTTGACGATGCCTTGACAAGTCATCTGGGTCAGCTCCCTCACCAGTGGTTAGGACACAGTTCAGGACTTGGCCAAATTTGTTACCAATACAGTCATCCATGTAGCAGTGTCCGCAAGGTTTTTTGGTGATCTGCATGAACACACACACCCACACACACACACAAGCATAAATTGGTATATCAATGAAAATCAATTGAAGTTTACATATATTTGCTTTTTATATATATCTTCTTTGTAGAATCAAGCTTCAGGATTCTACCATATGTTGAGGTAATCACACCTTTCAGCTTGTCAAGATGACCCAGGCTCTCGTTGGCATGGACTATCTCAAACCACTGTGCCAGGGGTGGGGCAAAAAAGCTGGTGGCCACTGATAAATTACTTCAGACTGGGTCAGGGTACTAATCTTCTTGCTCACAATCTGACAGATAGATTACGGTCCGGCCCACTCCTCACAGTGACTTTCCTCAAGTGCTTGCTGCAAGTAACTTGAGCCACTCCCTACAGTTCTTGGCTTCAAGAGAGTGACATTTTCTGTCAAGAGCAAGCTGGGTTGTGAGAACAGCCAGAAATTTGTTTCTATGGGCAGGATCGAGTTGTTTAAGAATCTCCATAGGGTAGACAGAAATCATACACTTACTGCAGTGAGAATAATCTACTCCAATTAGGTAATAACTGGATTCAATATCGATGACTTCCTTCACGTTTGTGTAGATTCCTGAGTAGTGCATCTTCACATTGCACTGCGTGCATTTCAGAGGAATGTCCCACATCCTCATTGGTGCCAACAAGAACATGCGCTGTCTCAAGTAATTATCCAGATCAGGAGGTGAAGTTGTGGGCTTGCAAGGACTTGGTGGATAAAACCAATTCTTTGAAAATTGCTGCTTCAGCTGTCCTGTGCTGTCATAAAGACACTGTGCTATCCACTTCCAGTCTGCTGGTTTAATTACTCTACAGAATTGCTTGGGGAGAAAACTCACCAAATTCACTTCTGGAAGCGTCAGGTTAATGTGTGGTTTGGATGGTATGTAGGGTGCACCTTGTGGAGCTCCTTGCCTCTCTTGGGTCTAACTGGGTTGTTGTGTGTCAGCAGCAACTGATGAATGTGCTTGTGCAGCTACAGAATCACAAATGTTGTTGTGGGAGGAGCTGTACATGGATCCACAGTTTTTCCTCCTTGGTCTGCCAGACTAGTCAATGGATGGTCATTTTCAATGTGCTGAAGCAGTCCAACTGCACCCTTAGCTTGAGTACTGGTCAGTGGGCTGGCTGCTTTCCTGTACTGGTCCGTGGGGTTGGCTGAGACTGGTCCGTGAAGCTGGTTGCATGCTGATTGTGTAAACCACAGTCATCAATACACTGCAACGCATCCTTCCACTTCGCTCCTGGCTTCTTGCCTGTTGTAAAGCAGTACTTCCCTTGTGCGTACTTGCACAGGATGTCACACCGGTACGCGTCAGGTCTTAGTCATGTCTACAAATATGAAACAACAGGGCAAATATCAGACAACTTGGGCTCATTTTAAAGTTTGTGAAAAAGTTGCCACCCTAGCTAGCTAGAATGTAAGAGAAGGCAAAACTTATGGCAAATGAACAATTGAACAACAGATACAAATAATGTAAAATAAGAACAGAAAATTATTTCTAAGAACAGAAAAAAAATATATACAAAAAAATCCTTTGTTCCGATGGTAAAGATTATTTTAAACAGGACGATTTTTAAGTAGCAGGTTTTATAACGTATAATTCATGTTTGTTTATGTACATGTATGGTTGTCCAGTTATGTGTGTATTTGTTGTTATTGTTTTTCTTTTACGCCAGTGTCAAATACAATTTTCTTTCTATGGCAAATAGAGTGGATAATAAAGTAAAAACTAAAGAGTGCTTGAAGTTTTAAAGTGAAAGTGAAGTGACTTGTGGCCAAGTATGGTGACCCATACTCAGAATTTGTGCTCTGCATTTAATCCATCCAAGTGCACACACACAGTAGTGAACACACACCCGGAGCAGTGGGCAGCCTTATTTGCTGCGGCACCCGGGGTCTCAAGGGTCTCACCTCAGTCGTGGTATTGAGGGTGGAAGAGAGCGCAGGTCATTCACTCCCCCAACCTATAATCCCTGCCCGACCTGAGACTCGAATCCACGACCTTTTGAGGTATCTAAAAGCAGTATAAACTATACAGTAAACTTTCAGAAACAGAAAGAGCAACAGAAAATAAAATAGTAATCTTTATTAAAGCTACTAAAGTTATTCAATTAAGAGCAGTGTGGAGTTTTCTCTTTCACTGTTTGAATCCAATATTTTGACAGATAACCGACTTTTTCCAACTGTTTACCTTCACTAAAGACATAACCGCTCGTGTTTAAATGAAACACTCGGCAGACTAGACAGGAATTCTGATCAGTTTTAAGTGTATTTTTCATGCCAACCGAGTTTTCATGTCGAGTTTTTTTCTTTTCGCGCAGAGTTTTAACACCAAACACGTCCCACTCTGTATTTTTACATTCGTCATTATTACTGTTATCACTGTTAGTGTTATTTTATGTAGTATAAATGAAGCAGCGCTGCCACTGAGAGCCGAGCAGACCTGCTCATATCGCCGCGATTTACAGCCTCATGCAAACCCAGCACCTAATGTTGATGTCATTGATAAACCACCGATTTAACAATAAGGTTGGCTAAATTAATGTTGGTACTCACCTCGACGTTATCCGGAGATCCATAAAATCTTAAAAACTGTTATATAATAAATCTGGCGGGCGCTGTGAGCTCTCCATGCTGTCAGGATCGTGAACAGTTTCGCCAGCCATTTTGGGCCACGGCTTATCTTTATATTTTATTAATCACGTGCTTTGTCACGTGACTGAGTTTCAGCCAATGGCTGTTCTGCCCCGAGCACCGTTCGGAATTGTTAGGACTTCAGTTAGGACTAAGACCATGAATGTTAGGATTGTTAGTGTAACCGTATGTTTCTGTGGTCTGCGTTGTGTGGAAAATTAGCGAAGAACGACAAGAGAGCGCCGTATTGGGTATCTGTAAATAACAAAAAATAAATACATAAAAACAACTTAAACATTATGTATTTCTGTGTGTGAATTATCTTCAACCAATGCTAACTATTAATCTGTAGCATGGGAAACAGCACACCTCTTCCGTTCGGGAGAGAGGAGGAAAAGACCGCTAAAAGCACGATACACTGCTGGGGGGGATCTAGTGTAATAAAGCAATTTTAACCTTGATACATTAGGAGTTTTGTTAGGAATTATTTAGAATGTGTTACGACTTGTTAGGAACAGTCTGGCAGTCCGCAGTATTTTAAGGTGAACCGGAAGAGTCGAAAAATAAGTGAAACAGAAAGTTAGCTGAACCACAGATGCTTTAACATTTTAGTACATTTCAGTACAGACTTTCTCAATAATAGTAGTAGTAGTAGTATTAGAGCACTAGTGTTGCTCCTATACTAGTATCCTAATACTTCTCCTATACTCCTATACTAGTACCCTAATACTTCTCCTATACTCCTATACTAGTACCCTAGTACTCCTGTACTAATTCATTCCACCTTGAATTGATGTTCAAGTGTCGCCCATAAATGGATTAATTAAAATGTGTAAATATTAATTCAGTACATTTGTATAAGACGAGGTGGCTGAGTGGTTAAGGTATTGGACTACTACTCTGTTGTTCTCCCCACATGTGGGTTTGACTCTCATCCTTGTTGGAATCTGTGCTCTTGGTCATTATGAAGAGATAAAATCTGACATGGCAGCAATTCACAATGCATAAGCCATGTTAGGCTCAACAAGATGAGGCTGTGCAATTGCATACTTAAAAAGTTCACCTCTTGGGTGGGTTTTCCAGATAAACTTACCTAATCTGGAGAGACATTTATGATTATCAAATATGACAATATTGATTCTCTCAATAATAATCAATCCTGTAGATAATTGTCATATACCTCACATATATTCTACTTTGTTAGTTTGTTTTGTTCCATTGTTAATACACTCTCTGCTAGTATTGTGTAAACAATGGGTTAGCAGTCCATCGCCTTAACCCCTCGGCCACCTCGTCCACACCAAGGGAGGCTTACTCATGGAGTCTAGTAAATATCCCAGCTTACTAGTTCCCAATCACTTATAGAGATAGCCATCATCAACCCATCCACTCACTCACTCACTCACTCACGGAATCTAGTAAATATCGCCATCTACTGGAGCGACATTGCTACTTCAGCAGCGTTTGAAGGTGGACTGAGAGTAAAAAAACCTTAAAACACTGCTGAAGTAGCAATGTCTCACCAGCAGGTGGTGCGTGAACACCACTGATATGAGGACGAGGTGGCCGAGTGGTTAAGGCGATGGACTGCTAATCTATTGTGCTCTGCACGCGTGGGTTCGAATCCCATCCTCGTCGACAGCGCTCTTTTAACCACAACTTCTGGCTTTAACACTCTCATTGCCTAAAATGTTTGATTATATTAGTTTGTCTAATTACTTTTGAGCCTGTAAAATGGAGGGACTATGTAAAAATGCTGTAATTTCTAAACAATTAATGCTACATTTCTGCTGAACACCTTGAATTAAATCTGAAAGTCTACACTTCAATCACGTCTTGATTGCTTCATTTCAAATCCATTGTACTACAGAGGCAAAATTATGAAATCCGAATTAAATAAATTCAAGAAACTTTTTTTCAGTGCACTTATACAAAGCATAATGTGTTTCTAATTACTAAATATCGCCATCTACCGGCGACACATTGTCTCTTCACTAGTATTTAGTATTTAGTGTGTGTGTGTTACCTGAAATAATCACACGTGCTACTAGACTACAAGACGAGGTGGCCGAGTGGTTAAGGCGATGGACTGCTAATCCATTGTGCTCTGCACGCGTGGGTTCGAATCCCATCCTCGTCGAGAGCCACGTTTTAAACTTAAATTACCCCTTCGATGACTTTCCTACTTACATTACATCAGAATACCAGACTTCACAAAGCTGCCTTCAGATCGCTGTTGATCTCTGCATCAATCTGAGAAATCAGTGTTAATCGGTATCTTTCCTGTGCTGAAGCAAGTAAAACGCGCTAAAATACTCAGGGCACTCCAGGACAAGGGTTGGGAACCTGTGTAGTAGGGGACGTGTTCAGTTAAGAGGATAAACGGAAATAAATATATATCTTAATAAACGTCTTCTTAACGAAAAAGAGAGACAGCAGAAACAATTACATTAATGCAGGGATTCTAACTGTGTTTTTTTTTTTTTTTTTTTTTTAGCAAATCATGTTTGTAGTGTCTTTCTGATTTAAAAGTGATTTAAATAACTTAAATTAACTCACTGAACAGAGCCGTCCTTCATTAGCAAACATGATTCAGTCAGCGTTTGGGAATCTGGAAACTCTTTGATCTGACTCACAGCCAATCAGAGCGCAGGAGGAGGGTTACGTAACACAGACGAGGCGTGAGTTCGTGTTGTTGACGGAGCGCCATGTTCGCGTAAACAAAAGAAATCATTTCCGCACACCTGTACAGCTGTGCGCTTTCACACACCAACCGAGCATCACAGGACACAAAAACAAAACAACAACCATTTAATGTGGAGCGAAAGAGTTATTAACTACTAGAGTGCTTGTATAGGAGAAGTATTAGGGAACTAGTATAGCTGTATAGAAACAGCACTATGGTACTAGCACTACTACTGCTCCAGGGCTACGTTTTTTTATTGAGAAAGTCTGTACTGAAATGTACTAAAATGTTAAAGCATCTGTGATTCAGATAACTTTTTGTTTCATTTATTTTTCGACTCTTCCGGTTCACCTTAAAACGCTGCTGAAGTAGCAATGTCTCTCCAGTAGATGGCGATATTTACTAGACTCCACCAGTGAGCGCTACAGTCATGAGGACAAGGTGACCGACCTTAAAACACTGCGGACTGCCAGACTGTTCCTAACAGTTTCTAACAAGTCGTAACACATTCTAAATAATTCCTAACAAAACTCCTAACAATCCTGACATTCATGGTCTTAGTCCCAACAAAACTCCTAACAATTCCGAACGGTGCTCGGGGCAGAACAGCCATTGGCTGAAACTCAGTCACATGACAAAGCAAAATGGCTGGCGAAAACGTTCACGATCCTGACAGCACGGAGAGCTCACAGCGCCCGCCAGATTTATTATATAACACAGTTTTTAAGATTTTTTGGATCTCTGGATAACGTCGAGGTGAGTACCAACATTAATTTAGCTAACCTTATTGTTAAATCGGTGGTTTATCAATGACATAAACATTAGGTGCTGGGTTTGCATGAGGCTGTAAATCGCGGCGATATGAGCAGGTCTGCTCGGCTCTCAGTGGCAGCGCTGCTTCATTTATACTACATAAAATAACACTAACAGTGATAACAATAATAATGACGAATGTAAAAATACAGAGTGGGACGTGTTTGGTGTTAAAACTCCGCGCGAAAAGAAAAAAACTCGGCATGAAAAATACACTTAAAACTGATCAGAATTCCTGTCTAGTCTGCCGAGTGTTTCATTTAAACACGAGCGGTTATGTCTTTAGTGAAGGTAAACAGTTGGAAAAAGTCGATTATCTGTCAAAATATTGGATTCAAACAGTGAAAGAGAAAACTCCACATTGCTCTTAACTGAATAACTTTAGAAGCTTTATTAAAGATTAATATATATTTTAGTCATGCAGTGAGGACTATACAGTTTTATTTTATATTCTGTTGCTTTTTCTGTTTCTGAAAGTTTACTGTATAGTTTATGCTGCTTTTAGATACCTCAAAACTTCATCCACTCTTTAGTTTAAACTTTATTATCCACTTTATTTGCCATAGAAAGAAAATTGTCTGACACTGGCATAAAAGAAAAACAATAACAACAAATACATACATGACTGGACAACCATGTACATAAACAAACATGAATTATGTTCATGTTATAAATTCTACTGCTTAATGGTCCTGTTTAAAGTAATCTTTACCATCAGAACAGAGGATTTTTTGTATATATTTTTTTCTGTTCTTAGAAATGATTTTACATTATTTGTATCTGTTGTTCAGTTGTTCATTTGCCATAAGTTTTGCCCTCTCTTCCATTCTAGCTAGCTAGGGTGGCAACTTTTTCCACAAACTTCAAAATGAGCCCAAGTTGTCTGATATTTACCCTGTTGTTTCATATTTGTAGACACGACTAAGACCGGTAAACCTGACGCGTACCAGTATGAAAAGAATCCCTTGCAAATTCGGTTATCATGAAGTATGTAATGATAAACATGATCATTTTACTTGCATTGCTGACCATTGTCATTACTGATATTACTATAGTTCTTCCAATATTTTAATTATTAGAACATCGTTACAGAGCATTTTGAAGGAGACTTGCCTTATTTAAACCTCAGACATTTAGTTTGGTTTGCTCTTAATTGTTGAAGTGAGATTTATCACCATGGTGAGATCCAAAGAGCTCTCTGAGGCCTTCAGAGAGAAGATTGTTGATGCTTATGAGTCTGGTAAGGGATATAAAAAAGATCTTGGAAAATCATTTACAAGTGGAGAACATTTAAAACCACTGCCAACATGGCCAGGTCAGGCCGTCCAAGCAAATTCACCCCAAGAGCAGACCGCAAGATGCTTAAAGAAGTCTCCAAAACCCCTAAAATATCATTATGGGACCTACAGCATGCTCTTGCTACAGTTGATTGCATGAAGCTACAATCAGAAAGAGACTGCACAACTTTAATCATCATGGGAGGTATGCAAGGAGGAGACCTTTGCTCCATAGGAAAAACATGAGGGCAAGACTGAGGTTTGTCAAAGAACACAGACAGAGGCCAAGACTTCTGGAATAACATGCTTTGGACAGAGGAGTCTAAAATTGAATTATTTGGACACCATAACAGAGTGCATGTTTAGCATAAACCAAATACAGCATTTCAGCAAAAGAACCTCTTACCAACTGTGAAACATGGAGGTGGAGGTGTTATGGTTTGGATGCTTTGCTGCAGCAGGACCTGGCCAGCTCACCGTCATAGACTCCACTATGAATTCTACATTGTATCAGAAGGTGCTCGAGGAACATGCGAGACCATCTGTCAAAAAAATCGAAGCTGAAGCAGAACTGGACCTTGCAACATGACAATGACCCAAAACATACCAAGGACTGGCTGAAAAGTAAAAAATGTTGATGTCGATGTCAGACACTGGTAGATGGCTACAAGAAACGTCTCACTCAGGTTATTTCAGCCAAAGGGGGAAAGACTAGCTATTGGGGCATAAGGTGTCCTAACTTTTTCCCAAAGTTGAAACACTCATATTTGTTGATTTCTTTTGTTTAATAAGTGGGGGAAAAAAAGTAATCTTTTTTTTTCTGTTGTTTACATGCAATTACATCACTTTCATCTACAGGTACAAATTAAAACAAGATCAGAAATTGACATGTTGACATTTCTTAATAAAGAACTGAATATTTAATGGGGTGTCCTAATTTTTTTTCACGACTGTATAGTTTGTGTGTTCATGCAGATCACCAAAAAATTTTGCGGACACTGCTACATGGATGACCAATATTAGTAACGAGTTTGGCCAAGTCCTGAACTGTGTCCTAACCACTGGTGAGAGAGCTGGCCTAGATGACTTGTCAAGGCATTGTCAAGTGCTACAAGGATGCTAAGGAGCCAGAGCCAGGTATGATTTATGTTGACAGGGATTGCTGTA